TTCAACAAAGTAACTGTATTCTAAATACCACCTTTTTAAACGGTAACTGTAACGGAATACAGTTACTCATATTTTGTATTTTAAATACGTAACGGCAGTACATGTAATCCGTTACTCCCCAACACTGACAATAATATAGGCTATATAGGCTTCTAATGCTTCAGATCTGCAGATGCTTACCATCGTGCGAATCGCTCTTCCGGAAAATAATATATTGAATAAAATGATTATAAATACTTTGACCACTCTGAGTCTGCATCTTCTCTGTCCAGTAGAAGAATAAAAAGAACTGGGTTCAATACTTTCCTTTTCTTTTTGAAAAGTATGCATCAGAAAGTCAGAACAGTGAACTATTAAGAGACCACTGTAGTCCACTATAGGGTACAACACAGCTGAGTTGCTGGTTTAAGTCCAGCGACATTGTACAAGCACAACATTGTTCTTCTCTTAAATCTGTTGTTTTATTTCTGTAACGTTCTGTAATATCTTACTCACTTAAGGAGCTGAGGACTGACAAAGGCTAACACATCCTGCAGAAGTTTGAAGCAGAAAGATTCAATCAGAATCCTTTTAAAGGTCTTGTAAATGGTGGTAATCAGCCATGAATTGGGATAGTTCTCTTCCTCCTTATTGTCCTTTTTCTTCTTTTCATCTTCCTTCTTCCCCCTTTCCTCCTAAAGGAACAGATCGTTTAAACACAGTTGATGAGATTTATTCAGAAAAAAACATAGTGATGTTGATTAGTGGTGTTATTAAAATCCGTTTAGACTGTAGCTCAATATAGTGTACATGTGTGTGGAAGTGTTTGAATGCTCTCACCATCGTTAGTACATCCTGACTGACTCCTTTCCCCAGACCACTGGAAAGCCCATTTTGCTGTGGGTCTTCCTGGGCACTGTCTCTGGTTTTAGCTGATTTCTTTTTCATCTTGTTCTGGAAGCGGACACTAGCTGCATCCAACTCAGGCTTCATGAAATGCTGGAAACGCTCATTGATGAAAGCAGTGCTATCACTCTCATTCAGATCCCACATGTCCTCCTGAACCAGAGGTTGTTTGTAGCCTTTTAAGACCATACTGTATAAACAATGAGAACTTTGAAGACATGGAGCACATATGTAGGTGCTTGTTAAGATTCCTACTATACTGACTTAAATGTTACCTGTTTAACCAGTTTAAAGTAATTCTGCTCAAAAATGCTGCACCTGCTTCAGGATTCTGTGGATAAAAACAAG